ATCAGCAAAGTCAAGAACTGTCTGACTATTACAAGGAGCAGAAGATAAAGCAGAATTTGATATGACTGATGAAACATCAGAGGAACTTGTCTATAGGTGAATCACCTTGATTTCTATATAGATAATAAAAATCAAGTCTGCTGCTCATCAATGCAGGTGGGGGTGAGATTCCAGAGGAAATATGTGTTGGAGAACAAGGACTCCTAATTCTGAGTCCATATAATGTTGTTTCAGAGAAGGTTAAACTAATAATTACATTGGAACTTGACATGTGTCTAAGGATGTAATCAGTTCTGAGAAGAGATGTAGTTATGTTACTACACATGACCTTATTCAGGCAGACTGTAATTGTAAGTCTGTCTTACTTTAATAGAACTAACTGTACTTTATTTAAATAAAGATGAGATTTCTTTTGAAACTGCATGACCTGAGATTAAATCATGTCAGTAAAAACTGTACTGTCACTTACCTTTAGCTAGCATGTATGAAGATGTTTGGTTTGAAGGATGTTTAATAAGGAAAGGCCAACTGGATGATTTATATGAAGAAATGACATTTAGGATGAATTCTGGATGTTTCTCCAAATAATTCATCATTTAGAAGAAAATAAGGAAAGCTGAATTCTCTGTAATGGATATATAAAATTTAAGCAAAGGTGACAGTGATTTAGAAAGTAATTTTCAAGAAGCAAGTGAATTAATGAGTTGTATTGAATGAGTTGTACAGTGTTAGGTTTACAGCCCAATTCAAAGTTTGAATCTTTAAAAAAAGTGTTTAATTTCAAAAAGTCCCATAAAAAAACAAACACATTATCTTTTCTTCTGCTTTCTAAACTTTTCCCATATCATGGCATAACCATAATATTCACATGGCGCAGTGGGGCTAACAAAGGAGCCTGTGCACACTGAAGGTGATGTGAAAGATGTTCTGAATTCTCCCTTGTTGTTTTTAATATGGTTACTAAGATAACAAAGTCATTTATTCACTGGGGAGTAGGGGAAGAAATAAATAATGCTTTAGACTGCCAATACAAACAAATATATATACTCCAGTTCTGTAGGAAACTGTCAGTTAAACATTTGATGCAAGAAGAACTAAATCTTTTTTTTTTTTTTTGAGACGGAATCTTGCTCTGTCACCAGGCTGGAGTGCAGTGGCGTGATCTCGGCTCACTGCAATCTCTGCCTCCTGGTTTCAAGCTATTCTCCTGCCTCAGCCTCCCGAGTAGCTGGGACTACAGGCGCATACCACCACACTTGGCTAATTTTTTGTATTTTAGTAGAGACAGGGTTTCACCATGTTGGCTGGGATGGTCTCAATCTCCTGACCTCATGATCCGCCCACCTCAGCCTCCCAAAGTGCTGGGATTACAGAGGTGAGCCACTGCGCCTGACCAAGAACTAAATCTTAACAAGGAATTCAGACTTTTATATTCTCAAAAATCAGATGTTAGTCAGTTCCCCCCAAAACTAGAAATAAGTCCACAGAATTTTGATCCATTAATTAGATGGGATTTATCAGTTGCTTTTTTGATATCCTCTACAAAGGGATGGAATGATAGCTGTTAGATAAAGCTGCAAAAACTCACCTGTTAAAAAATTAGAACCTGTCTCTAGCCTCAGATTCCCAGTCCAGACACCTAAAATAGGTGCCACACTACTTGTTAATAAGTAATGTTACAATAATATTGTCTGTTCTAATTAATATATGTTTTCTCTGTTATACTTCTTTATATGTATACATGTATGCATACAGATATTTGTGGATATATATAATATATATAATATAGTTATATAAAAGCTCCAGTCACCAAGATATTTCTACAAAAGGACTTCACTATAGATTATCACAAAGCCTCAAGTTTCAGATGATTATATTCCATTAGATTAATTAGAAAAACAGAATGAATGATGACATGAGCAATTTTACCCCAACGGGCATCTGAAATTCAAATACTATGAGATATTGAAGGATGAACTTAGAAATGCTTTTTATCTCAAATGCTTCATGAGTGAAAGTAAAGCCACTATTAAATACCACAAGTCCCATTTGATGAAGAAAATACTTTACTGAGATGACGCATAGATTATATGATACTTTTTAAAGGAATAAAACCTATCAAAGACAAAGGTATAGAGAGAATGCCACAGAACTTGTTAGTGGCTAGTAAAGGGAGAAAATAAATATTAAGACATTAGGGGCAGTTACTCTGAAGGCTTTATACCTCTGGAAAGAAACCTGACTCATTATAGAACAAAATAACAACACAAAACTACCATCTTTTAAAATGATATTTTTTCCCAGGAAACAAAAACTCTTAGAGATGTGTTTTATCTTCACCATCTCATGAAGGAAGCAATGGAGAAGAAAAAAGTAGGAGTCTAATTAAAGAACTTTCTTCTTAGACATTCTCTTTTCAGGCCTAAGGGTATACCAGAATCTTATGGGTACATCCCAAGAAGTGTGAGGATCTAGGCACCCCAAATTTTCTCTGATGAACCACCACCAACTGTTGCTTATCTCCTGAAGTGAGAAGACTCTTAGCAGGGGAGGAAGTGAGGGGCCTTGGTATCTAAGTATAGAGAGGCCGCTTCTCACACTCCTGTATTTCAAAGGGAAGAGTAAGTCCAACAAACAGCAGCCACTGTAGTTGCTAATCAGAGAGTGGTATTCAACATGGAAGGACAAAGCTGATGCCATATTTTTAACGACTTATGCACAGGGATAAAAACACTGAATAGAGTTGAAAGAAACAGCACCAATTATGAATATTATTTATGTTAATTCTTTGGGTATAATTTTCCTCTTTGCCACTTTTAAGTCTATAGTGATTTCAGGATAAATTGGAGTCAAACTATAGGTCTAGAGGCCAACGATTTATTACAGTAACAAAGAGCATGTTGAAGCATGATATTGAAGTTGTATCGGATGCCCTCCTAAAGTCCTTTGATTCTGTATTTTAATTCTATTGAAGTGCAATTTCTGGGAAAGATACAAAGAATTTTTGTGTGTGACCTCAAATCATTATTTTATAGTTAAGTGTAGCATAAATCCAGGAAACACACTCTTACATATGGGGGTTATCATGTATAAATGTGTTTGAAAATAATTGTACTGTTCTTGTCAGTAGAAATTTATAAAGCAATCTGTTATAAACTAAATCATACCTCTTTCCAAGCCGTCCTTCTGAAATCAGCTGACAAAAGAAGTTAAAGCCTAATTTCCCAGGATTCTTTGTCTTTTGACATGGTACCATCTCCTATCTCTGATTGTATTAGAGACTTTTGGAAAACAGGCTGCGAAGTTATTACTGTGTGATTTTGGTACATGTACTAATATCTGTATTATCCATTTTATTTTAACATCCAGTGAATTTCAGATAATTTCTTCAGATTGGTCTTTCGAAATGGGTCCTAACTAAGTAAAACCTTAATTTTCAAAATTATCTATTATAGATATACTACAAAACAGAAAGAAATAAAATGGGCTTTACTTAGTATATGTAAGGAGAATTTTTATTCTCTCAATCTATCTATTTTTAGAAGTAACATATGTGGGGCCGGGTACAATGGCTCACACCTGTAATCTCAGCACTGTGGATGGCCAAAGTAGGAGGATCACTTGAACCCAGGAGTTTGAGACCAGCTTGGGGAACCTAGTAAGACCCTGTCTCTACAAAAAATAAAACATTACCTGGGTGTGGTGGTACATACCTGTAATCCTAGCTACTAGGGAGGCTGAGGTGAAAGGATGGCTTGAGCCCAGGAGTTTGAGGTCACAGTGAGCCATGATCACATAACTGCATTCCAACCTGGGCCCCAGAGCAAGACTGTCTCTTAAAAAAAAAAGTAACATGTTTGGGCTATTAAGCTAGGCCATGAAGAAGGCTGAATTATATCCTCCATTTATTCAATTGTCAAACTTCAAAATTTGTATTAGCTTCTCAAAGCTAAATTCTAAGAAAGTGCATATGTATAAATTATATATGTGTTTATATATGTATATAAACGTATAAATGTGTATGCATATAATCTATATAGCTGTGGAAGAAACAAACTTGGGTATCAATTATTATCAAAATTCCTTATCCAATAATACATCATTAATTTTTATTAACAGTCCAGGATTTGTTTAGCATCTTGTTTAACATTTGAAAATCAAAACATAAACTTTTTGGTTCTCAAGGATAGTGCTATTAAAAGAAAATCTCGAACATCAGTGGTTAGTAATTTTTTACTTACAGAACAAAAACTTTTGAAATTTCATTGTGGGACTTAATCTATTTACATTCCTAAAACTGAGAATAATTAATGTACTTGAGATCCTTGTATGCTAGTATACATTCATAAGGTTCTACTGTTCTCATGAAACCATTTGATGGCAAACATATTCATTACGGTTTCAAAAGAAAACACCCTATTTGACTCACCGGAAAAACCTTTGTGATCTATATCCTATTATTTCTTCTTCTGCTGCTGAGCATGAAATACATTTGGGGTTGAAACAGGAGAGGAAAGAGATAGATTTATTAGGGGAATATCAACTTTTATGGCTCCCCTGCCCCCTCCACCTAAAATTAGGAGGTCAGTGAAAGAACTGCAAATGAATGTAAACAGGAATATTTCCTATACTACTGTAGAAATTTTAGAGATTAAAAACCCCTATGATTTGTTCTGTACCTTTTGAACAATGAATGACTCCCCCTCCCATCTATTTTCCATTTTGGTGTAAAAAATAGTTTTGCATTTTATGAAAACAATTGTCCTTTTAAAAATTAATCACATATATAATTGAATATATTGGTTGCATATAAGAAGAAAAAGGTTTAAGGATTAAAGCATTCAAAGAACATTAATTTGGTGGAATTTCAGTCAATGTTATGGGATCATGTCAGAGATGAACCCTTCTTTTATCAAAATTCCAAAGGTGGATCCATATTTTATAAAATTTGATACCAAATAAGTTATGTTATAGGAATATTTCAATGTTGTCTCAAACATTGAAGAAAAAATTTAATATGGTCAAATTACATGAAAAGGCAAGAATATTGATCATGTTGATGGTATTTCTAATATTTGGAAAATGTTATTAAAAAAAGAAGTATAAATACTATTCAGATTCTGAAAACCATGGCAGACGCAAAATTAAATAAGGAGTAACAGTAACAAATGAATGAAAAATTAGACAAAAGCATATTAAATGACAAAACAGCAAAGCAAAAATAGAATTAAGTCATTAAGATTAAATAGTATACTGTTGTAAAATATATGAAAGTATTAAAAGTATTATAATTAAAAATGATTCTTATCCTAAATATGAAAATAAATATCAAATAATATGAAACATAACATCTAATAGTTTGTTAAGAAAAAATAACACAAAGCAGAGAAAATAAAAGACACCTCACTATTCCCAATGTGGTTATTATTTATGGAATGGATAAAACATGTTGTAGAAAAGGTCATTACAGTTAGATTAGCACATAAAAAACCAACATGCCACATCTACCTAAATAATTTTGTAGAACAGCTGAAAAAGCAAATTTCATCAAATTTAGACAGCTTATAGTGGAATAACTGAGTATGGTGAGGTATTAACTAACACTAAGTTTCACAACGCGCAGCTTCTAGCTGGTTCGTTGAAGCTGGATCTCGGCCACACAAGGATCATTGGACAAGAAATCAGTTGAGCTGGACTAGAGCTGCCCAATTGTCTTAATAATGAATGCTCCACACTGTCTGTTAAGTAAAGAGAAAATATAGATCAGGAAGACTGAATGGAAAAACACACACACACACACACACACACACACACACACACACAAGTTAGAACAGATGAGTGCAGACCATCAATCAACATTGACTAAATATTTGCAGAACCTTGGTACAAATTAAATTAGAATGTTACAAAGTGAGAGGCTAGCAATTAGGAGGGCTCCAGAACTCAGGAAAAGCTTGTCCCTGCTCTGTGAGAGCTTAGAATCTGTATTTGACAATCTCTAGTCTAGTGTTACAGTATAAATGTTTAGTAAATAAAATGAGGGATGGGTCAGCACAGATTACGAGTTACAACATTTCCTTCTATTAGGTGTGTCTTAAAAACTTGTTTTTAAAAGGGGAATAGTGTTTTTTGCAGGAGGTTATTTAGAAAGCTGCCCAAAACCCTGGCAGGGCGCGGTGGCTCACGCCTGTAATCCCAGCACTTTGGGGGGCCAAGGCGGGTGGATCACGAGGTCAGGAGATCAAGACCATCCTGGCTAATGCAGTGAAAACCCGTTTCTACTAAAAATACAAAAAAAAATTAGCCGGGCGTGGTGGCGGGCGCCTGTAGTCCCAGCTACTCAGGAGGCTGAGGCAGGAGAATGGCATGAACCCGGGAGGCAGAGCTTGCAGTGAGTCGAGATTGTGCCACTGCACTCCAGCCTGGGTGACAGAGCAAGACTCCGTCTCAAAAAAAAAAAAAAGGACAGTTGTCCAAAACCCAAAAGTATCCTTTAAGTGGGCATAAGTAGGACAGGCATACAGGTACTTATGCTGTGTAATTCAGAAGAATTCCATATACCTGTGTCATCCTGGGATTTTTTTTGTTGTTGTTGTTAATACTAGTTTGGGTCAAAGAATCAACCTAGTTACTACTACCTTTTTGGCAATTTGGGCCTAGGCCAGCTTCTAATTTAGGGAATCATGCTGTCCTAAGACATATTTTAAATTTTGAATAGGCTCAAAAATTTCCATATTTGTTCCACTATCTCTAGAGCAGCGCTGTCCAATAGAATGGCCCACGTTGATGGGAATGTTTTACGATTACACTATTAAGTATGGTGGTCACTAGTCCCATGTGGCTGTTTAGCACTTGAAATGTGGTTAGTTGCAACTCAGGAACTGAATTTTTAATTTAATTTAATTTAATTTAAAATTGAAATTCAATAGCCTCATGTGGCTAGTGGGTACCATATTGGAGACAGCATGGCTCTAGTGGCTCAAATTTGTTGGGTTTGCTAAAACCAAACTCTACAGACTGGCCTAGATTTCCCTGGCCTGTTTAATATCGTCCAGTACCATTTACTAATGTTCGTAACTGTATTACCAGTGTCTAGAATAATGGCAAGCACAAGGTAGGTGCTCAGTAAGCATTTGTTGAATGACTAGATCTACTATGATAATACACAGCCATTCATACCTAGTTAACTACTTAGAGGTTATTGGCTGTAACCTGGTATATACTGGTTCTCTCAGGAGAAAATAGAGATACATGAAGTCAAACCGTTTTATGTATGTGAAATTACTTGGTTAAAGCCTCAATGTGCTAGAGAGAATAAGGAGCAGTGCTAACTTCAGTATATTCAAATATGAATAATTTAGGTTGATAAATATGGGAAAATGAGAGAACATGTCTCACTCTGTCACCCAGGCTGGAGTGCAGTGGCATGATCTCAGCTCACTGCAACCTCCGCCTCCCGGGCTCAAGCAATTCTCCTGTCTCAGCCTTGTGAGTAGCTGGGACTACATGCCACCATGCCTGGCTAATTTTTGAATTTTTAGTAGAGATGGGGTTTCACTGTGTTGCTCAGGTTAGTATTGAACTCCTGACCTCAGGTGATCCACCCACCTGGGCCTCCCAAAGTGCTGGGATTACAGGCATGAGCCACTGCTCCCAGCCAGAGAATGTAATATTTAATGGTAAGAGTGTCACTAAAAGTTGATGAGAGTGATAACAGGGGAAAAATTAATGTCAGATAAAAAACCAAATTCAGATTTTATGCATGACTAAAAGACGGAAAGTGAAGATGTAGAAGTCTTGAAGAAATATATAGTAATCCCGGGCTGGGCGCCGTGGCTCATGACTGTAATCCCAGCAATTTGGGAGGCCGAGGTGGGTGGATCACCTGAGGTTAGGAGTTCGAGACTAGCCCGGCCAATATGGTGAAACCCTGTCTCTACTAAAAATACAAAAATTAGCTGGGCATGGTGGCATGCGCCTGCAGTCCCAACTACTCAGGAGGCTAAGGCAGGAGAATCACTCGAACCTGGGAGGCAGAGCTTGCAGTGAGTCAAGATCGCTCCACTGCACTCCAGCCTAGGCGACAGTGTGAGACTCTGTCTCAAAAAAAACAAAAGAAAATAAATATATAGTATTCTCATTAGGCAGTAATAGAGCTTTGAAAAGGGTTTTGGCAGTGGAGAGAGAAATTAATACAGCTGATCCTTGAACAACATGGGTTTGAACTGCATGGGTGCACTTAATAAATATGTGTGAAGGTTTTTTTTTTTTTTTTTGTCTGAGACAGTATCTCACTCTTTTGCCCAGGCTGGAGTGCAGTGGCATGATCTCAGCTCACTGCAACCTCTGCCTCCTGGGCTCAAGCGATTCTCATGCCTCAGCCACCTGAGTAGTTGGGATTACAGTCATGTACAACCATTCCTGGCTAATTTTTGTATTTTTAGTAGAGACAGGGTTTTGCCATGTTGGCCAGGATGGTCTTGAACTCCTGGCCTCAAGTGATTCCCCTGCCTTGGCCTCCCAAAGTGCTGGAATTACAGGCACGAGCCACTGCGCCTGGTCACTTACATGTGAAGTTTTTTCAGTAAATATATCAGAAAATTCTTTGGAGATTTGCAACAATTTGAAAAAACTCACAGATGAGCTTTACTGCCCAGAAATATTGAAAAAGTTAATAAGGCACTTTTAAAGTTAGGCATGTCATGAGTGCATAAAATATATGTAGGGTCATTGTATCATTTACTACCATAAAATATACACAAATATTTAATAAAAAGTTGAAATTTATCAAAACTTCTACACACAGACACAGATATGGTACCATTTGCGGTTGAGAGAAATGTAAACAAATGTAAAGATGCAGCACTATATCATAACTTCATAAAATTTACTGTAGTACATACTGTACTACTGTAAAAATTTCACAGCCATTTCTTGTTACTGTTGCAGTAAGCTCAAATGGTGAGCTCAAGTGTTGTGTCTGCCCAAAATACCGTGTGATGACAATCATCTCTGTGAGAGCAGTTCAAATCTCCAGTAAATAGCATGTCAAAGTAAAATTTAATCTCTCTCACTTTTCGCATATTTCTCGTGTTTAGTGCAATACTGTAAACCTTGAATAACACCATAGAACCCTTACGAAATGCCACTAGTGATGCAGGAAGTGCTCCCAAGAAGCAAAGTCATGACAATACAAGAAAAAGTTGAATTGCTTGATATATACTACAGATTGAGATCTGCAGCTGAGGGTGCCCACCATTTCAAGACAAATGAATCCAGTGTTAAGGACCACTGCAAAAAAAAAAAAAAAAAAAAAAAAGGAAATTCACGAAGGCATTGCTGCAAGTATGCCAGTAGGCACAAACACCTTGCACTTTTTGCAAAATAATACCTTTTGATCTTGTATTGGAAAATGCAGATTTTATGTGGATGTGGGATGGCTATGGTAAGAAAGGCATACCTATAGACTCTAATATGATTCGAGAAAAAGCAAAGTCATTATATGATAACTTAAAGCAAAAGGAAGGTGAAGGATCTAAAGCTGGATAATGTAATGCCTCTAAAAGGTGGTTTGATAATTTTAGAAAGAGGTTTGGCTTAAAAAATGTCAAGAGAACAGAAGAAACAGCTTCCAAAAGGCAGCAGATGAGTTCCAAGATGCCATTAAGAAAATCACTGAAGAAAAAGGATATCTGCCTAAACAGGTTTTTAATGCAGGCAGAAGTGCCTTAGTCAAAAACAAAACAAAACAAAACAAAACAAAAAAAACCCACAAAAGACTTTATTAATAAGGAAGAGAAGCAAGCACTAGGATTTAAGGCAGGAAGGGAGAGGCTAACTCTAGTGTTTTGTGCAAATGCAGTCAGGTTTATGATCAGTACTGCCCTTATCTATAAAGCTGCTAATAACTGAGTCTTGAAGGGAAAATATAAACACCAGATGCCAGACTTTTGTACTGAAGGCATCAAAGTGATCTACTTGTCCCTAAGCACAATGCCTCTAATTCAACCACAGAGGGTCATAAGGACCTCTAAGGTGCATTACACATGGTATTCTATGGAGAGAATTGTTAATGCTATGCAAGAGAACCCCAAAAGAGAGAACATCATGCAAGTCTGAGGGATTACAGCATTGAAGATGCCATTGTTATAGAAAAAGCTGTGAAAACCATCAAGCCTGAAATAATAAATTCCTACTGGAGAAAACTGTGTCTAGATGTTGTACCTAACTTCACAGGATTTACAACAAAGTCAATCAAGGAAATCATGAAAGAGATTATGGATATGGCAAAAATGGTGGAGGATTGAATGGTTTCAAGATACAGATTTAAGAAAAATTAAAGAGCTAATAGACACTACACCAGAGGAATTTACAAAAGACAACTTGATGGAGATGACTGCTTCTGAACTAGTACCAGACAATGATGAAGAAGACATAGAAGACGCAGTGCCAAATTGACATTAGACAGTCTGGTAGAAGGGTTCTGATCATACAAGACTGTTTTTGACTTCCTTTACAACAATGGACTTAGAAAACTCCCTTAGGAAGACAGTTTAGAGGACAAAGAGAATTGTGCTATAATTAAGGTAGTTGATAAGAGAGGAAGAAATATATTTCTTAAAGAGACATTGAAAGATCAAACTGAAGGCAAAGAGAGTCACATCTTAGGAATAATAAAAGTTGAGGACAGGCTAGGTGACAGTATTGAATTAAATAAAATTTAAGAGGACATGGACTA